AAACGTAGTTCAATTGAAATCGATCGTATATCTTCTACTATTCGAACGACAAATATCGATTTCTTTTCTACATCGTACATAGGAACAGTCAGATTTACTACAATGGCATTCTCCGACTGCAAACTATATGATGGTTCATGTATATTATATAATTTGAGAAACAAGTGTTTAGTTGGTTTTATTCGCAACATTATCCAGGTGAAAAATGTCGTGTTGTACGAAGTGCAACAAACTTTGAGAACAAAAATTTTGCAACTAACTGTTGCAAAAAAGATGATTAGTTGTCCTAATGTACTGTATGGAACCAGAACAAATACGATGGTTTTTATTAAACCTAATGCAATTATTGAGAAATTGGCTTTCTATAATGAAGCAAAACTAAACAGTTTTATATCATTTCGTTTCCCAACTCTGTGTGAATCGTCGTAGATTTTTTGTGGTTTAAAAAAGCTTGTTCTCTTCTTTCTGTAAGAAGATAGAAACAAGAAATCGAATTTTGGTAGTAAAGATTTATTTCCATTTTATCAGCACTATTGTTTTTGAGCCGACAAATCTTTTGTTATGCTCAGATCGAAACAAGCCTTTTAGTTAGGTATGTGTCAATTCGATCAATTAAATAAATAAAAATAAATAGCGCGAGAGCAAGCCTAGAAGGAAGATGTATTCGATTCTTATTCGCTTGTGCCGTAAGTCTTTTATGGACAGCACCAGTGAGAATTAGCTGATGATTTAATATGAATTTTGCTAATCTGTACGCTCTTTTTGGTATGACTTCGATGTACAAAGATCAGATGCAACAAATGCGTTTCCCTGCTTGCAATAGACGTGCGTTTAAACGCGATAAAAGTAAACGCGTTAAACGGGGCAATTCTTGCACCAATTGATGCATCAAAACGCGTCCATTCTTAGCACGTTTTAGCGCATGACTATTTGAAGCAAAGAAACGCGTTAGAGGACAACGCGCTTTGATGCATCAATTGGTGCAAGAATTGCCCCGCTTAACGCGTTAAAAATTAATGCACATTAGCGCGTTTTTTTGACCCAAAAATTCCACCTGGGCAGTCTGTTGGTATTATTGTACAAGTTATTGGAAATAACAATACCTTTATCGTTGATTATACTTTGAGATATTTTAAAAACATAAAAGTACTTGTTGCATACCGATGATTAATGTTTTGGTTAGGAAAGATCATAAAAATGATTTTGCTCAAACGCACATGAAATCCAATAAAATTCATTAATTATAAACAGATACAAACTCAACGTACATGTAATACAGCAGTGCATTGGACCAAGTATATATTTCATAAAAAAATCATTAATAAATTGCGGTAAAGGTGAGCGTAACTGAGTTTAAGCTTAAAAACCACTAGTTCATTTTAATCTTGCCGTTTTGCTTGTTCAATATCAAAATCAGATCGAATAATGATTCTCCCAGACGCTGTTGAATACCATATACGTCCATTCAATGTATAGACATTATTTTTAATTAATGTCAAACGAGCACGCTTGAACAATTGAAGATTGCAATTTGTCAAGTCTTCAACAATATTGACTTGTCTATAATTCTCACTTTACTTTAATTTCTTTTTATTAGAAAATAATTATTTTCTCGTATCATAGCGTAACAAAGGACAAATTATTGATCGATTCTTACTAACACATTTGTTTCCTAATCGGTGAGAAGTGCTAATACCTGTTGGTTTAATATTGACATGAATGGAAACGCACATATCAACAATTAAATCGTTTATTATTTCACCATCTTTCTCAGGTATTTCATGTACAAGTATATTTAGTCTTCGATCATACTGTTCAATGTCATTGGATTTCAGGTGTATTTCAGTTATTTTTCTGTATGCTTTGCAACTGCTTCTTGAATTTGTGTTGGATGCTCTTCGACTTGCTCGACTATGGATTTTATAAAAGTGGAATTGTTCAAAATATTTGTTATAATAGTGGTAAGTTTAAACTCTAAATCAGTTGAGCTTGATGGTAATAAATTTTGATTTTGCATCTGTTTCTTTTGTTTGATAAGAATATTCTTACGATCTGATGAAGTACAATACATTAAAGCACAGAAAACAATGTGGCTGTACGATTAGTATACGACATATGTCTGTACATCTCAGTAAAAGAAAAGAGAATCTTCATTCTTATAAATTGGACATACAAAACCATTTTTCCAGTATTCAGTAAAGACTGCGGACTCAAGCGACTCATGAACTAACTTCGTGACTGATTTTACAATGGAAGGAATCATATTTTTTAGCATGCGATTAGTTATTCCGGGAGCACATGCCCGACTGCGATCAAGTTTTCGCAAAATTGTGTCAACATTAGGCTGCTCTTCCTTGAACTTATCGATCTTTGCAGAAGATTCCGGTAAACTGTCTGCAATTTTTGGATCGACAGTGGGACTTGTCCATGTAGAAACTTCTGCGAAATAGCTGTTTAGCATTTCAGCTTTCTCTTGTGTGCCGACTACGGTATGATTAGTAGTGTTCCTCAACGCTGGAATAGAAGTTGTGCGTTCTCTGCCCAAAGTGTTTTTAACTAAACCCCATCAGTTCTTCGAGGAAGCAGAGACTTTCTCATTTATTCTTCAAAAATATTTTTCTTTCGTGGATACACACGCTTCTGTAAACTTTTTCACTGCTTCCTTGTATAATTCTAAATGACATTCGTCAAACCAAACCTTATCTTGTGGCTCGATGATTATCATCTTATGCGGCACATAAGCATTTATGTATTCTAGAAGAATGTCTTCAGATGCTTTAACTCTTTCGCTGATATTATTATAACTTTTTAAAAGTTGATCTATTGGAATTTCTCTAGTTCTTCACTAGTTCTACAATTTCATTAGTTCTTCTGGATCTGCTGGCTAGTTCAGTATTCTTGTTTGTAAAATGAGAAAAGCTAAACATCAAGTTGGTAATCTAATGATACAGTTAGCAGCTATAGGAGAATAAACAACGAGAGAATTTGTCTCTCTCTTCATACCTATATTAAGAAATTGAACCTTCTTACGTACAACCATTAATACCTCATCAATCATAAGTAATAAACATGGCTACTATCTACATAAAATGTAATGTATTAAAAGGAACCACCGGTGAAGGGAGGTTTTAGAGAAGAACTTGATAGGATTTCTAAGGTGGAAATAATACGCACTTCGAGGAAAACGTTTTTCGGACGTGTAATACACCATTCGATAGAGCGTTTCGAGCTGTGCACGAATATATATATATATATATCTTATTTGTTCGAAGTAATTCTTTCATGTCGAAAAATCGAAAAATCCTCTGATTTTGGAACAAATGGAATTTCCGTCTTATTTGACGATGCGAATTTATCAAACTATTTTTTTCTGATTCAGCATTGAAAACTGAGTAGCAAAATGTTATTTGATGAATTTTGCAGTTAAAGTGGTGTCCAGCATGGATGTCACTATTAGTGACATTCATGCTGGACACCACTTTAACTCCTTATTTGACACTCCCTTGGAGTGCCAATAGCCATTCCGAATATTTATTTATATATTATATATTTTACTGTCTCCTAGTCAATAAACATGCACTTTCGATCTTTTGCTTAATGTCTATCTAGATACCCACTGGGTGTGGATAACCAGTCTTCTTACCTGCCACTCCATATCCCATCACTTGTGTGGAGATGATAAATAGAATGTCCAAAATTAGCTTTGTCTTTGTCTGTAAATAAACGTTATTAATCAAAATAATGTCCGTTGCACTGGCACGCGAGTTGACCACGAGAATTATGACATAAATAAGTGCGTGCTCCTTTATCGCAAACGAGCTGGGGTTCAATGAAAAGCTCCACTTGAATATTTGAAACGCCTAGTCGGAAGACCCCACGCCAGACAGTGGCCTATTGGATAGACTATTAATAATAGAATAAGTATTGGAAATTGATAGGTTAGTGAACGATAAACAAAATATTGGTTAAAGCTGGCTACCATTCCGACACATACAATCCCGATCAAAGCAGTGCGAAATATTAAGCATGGCATTTCTTGATTATCTTTGTTTGATACGATACCGGCTATCTCTTCATAGGATGCTTGCTCTGAATCGATGTAATTATTTTTGATACCAGTGACACCGGTCGATGCTATCGAATTCAAAAGTATGTCTGTTTCTTATGAGTTTCCACTCATCGGACGAGTTGTTAGTAATTAATGTGTTAGAGCCTACAGAGAAATGTAAAAAACGGTTACTATTCATTAGAAAAAAAGTGATGGTAGATGTATTTCGAATGGATTCTGAATGTTGATGGCAAGAGATTCTTTGTCCTCGATACTCAACTGGGTAGATATAATTCTATTTTGCTTACTAGAAGGATACAGTTTCAAGAGTCCTGGAAAAACATTGTGAATCTTCATAAGTTCAGGTAGAGACACGTTTGTTTGAATCAATCAATAGATAGTCCCGAGTATCCCCTTCAACATAAGATTACCCCCCAACACTTCCCATTTCTGCTATATGAAAGCCACATGGCATTTCTGAGATGTGCCATGTCTAATATTGGAAAAATCTGACACGGAATTTTGATTATAATATTATGAGCTTATACGTTAATTGCCACAAACTGTGAGCTTTTCGGTCCCATTTTACAAAACGTTTTACTTCTGCACAAACATACAAAAAATATGTATGAACATAACGTTACACAAGTCAGAAAAAAAAAAGAGCCATTTAACCCGACAAAATTAGAATACATTCAATACTATCATTAACAAATGTTTTAACATTTCAAGATTTTGCTCTTGTATGATTAGCATAAAAATTTGAAATAATATAGTCAATATCATCATTGTTCATATACGGGTTCATTATTGCATATTTAACTGTTGTTTCAAGTGCATCAGTTCTAAGTCTATTACGCAACTGTGTTTTGATTCTTGTTAATGCACTAAATGATTTTTCGCATTCCTTAGCATATAATAGTAATGTAATCAGTGTTTGTTAAAACTTGCACTATTCAGCTAAGCCATAAACACAATATTCTGATAAACGTTTTGTAATGTCAAGTAAACTAGCTATTGTTCCAATTGTTGACCAAAATTGCGGTAATTGTTCTTGTAATAAATTTTTGTTTAAAACTGCATTTTCTATTTTTTTGTACTTTGATTTATTTGTATCTTTTTTTTGAAACGTATTGAATTACAACAGAATAGCAACAATTTGCTATCAAGTAATTTATTGTCATCATACATAATTCAAAATCAAATACGCTCATTGAGTGAGCAGTAGTTCATTTTGTCGAATCGAAATATATGCCAAATTTATCTAATGTTAATGATCGATATTCAATTTCTTTTAAAGAAAATGTGCATGCTTTAATACATTTTCCATCACATTTATTCATATATTGTTGTTTTATCAATTAATTGTAATGTATACCCCTCTGCTGTTAGTGAGCCATCATCATCTTTTCCTACTATCTGACTTAACGTAGCTACTACTGCTGCTAAATGTTTCCACATAAATTTGAATTTTGTAACTTAGATCTGTTTTGCGTATAAAAAGGAAGTTTTTGAACAGGTGGTACGTCTATCGCCGCAAGCATCCAAATTGGTGGTCTATCTTCTGCACCATATTTCTTTAATAGATCATGGTTTTTATGCATTACCTGCTTTCGTGATGAATATTCATAAATAGTATCTTAGAGATCATTTTTCAGCGTATTAAACTTTCTGAATTCATGTACATGAAAGAAAATTTAACTAGTTTATGTGCATTATGGCTGTTCACGCAGGTCTGAGAACGCATTGCAGCTTCTGAATTTCAGTTTCAATTTGTTAAACTGGCATCATCCGGAAATCGCCGTCGCCGCGGATTCTTATATGTTAAAGTGTTAAAGTGTAAAAGGATAAACGTGCATAACTGAGGGTGAAGTAGTGAGGATGAGGGTGGA